CCCCCCCCCTTTTCTCTGTCTCTGTATGTATGTATTATGTCATCTTGTTGTACTATTGTAAATATATGCTTGTAATTTGCTGGGAAAGGGCTCAATATAAGTTTGATAACTTGTGCCCAATCCATTTGCAATAAAATATGTTTAAACTAATTAAACTACGACTAATGAAACGACTGTTTCTGTACGAGTACATGTATATTAGCAAAGCATCCTTCCCCTTTGCACGCGACATTTATTTTTTGTAAAAATACACGATTTCCTGTGTTCTGTGCTCAGCTAAAAGCTCAATGTATTTCATTTGCAGTTCCGTTACCCTGTGTTACGTTCTCAGCTTCGTTTCCCTGTTTTACGTTCTCAGTTCAGTTTCCTGTTTTACGTTCTCAGTTCCGTTTCTTGTTTTCCTTTCTCAGTTCCGTTCCTTTCCTTGTATACGTTCTCAGATCCTTTTCCCTGTGTTACGTTCCCAGCGTTTTCTCTGCGGTATGCTCTCACTTCTGTTTTCGCTGCATTTGGTTCTCAGCTCCTTTACCGATTTTAATTTTACGATATTTTAGATAAATTGTTTCTTTGTTACGTTGTTAATTTATGCTCTTTTTTCAAGTCCATGTTTCCTGTGTAATACTATTAGTTTCGTTTGCTCTTTCTGATGGGCTATACTCCGTTTTCCGTGTGAAGTGTTTGGCTTTGTTTCCTATCTTATATTTGTTTTCGTCTGTTAAGTGTTGTTGTATAACATTTAGTCTCTATGTTACAGGGCTGTGATGATATGTACCGGACTGATACAGGTGCATTGCCTTACACTCCGGTGGTTAGAAACGACTTGGACAACGGTGAAGTGTGATTGACCTAGTCGGTTAAGGAACATATCAACTACCGCGAGACAAAGTCTAATAACTATTCCGTGTATATCACCAGACTGTGTTAATAACATTACGGGATGTTTGATTACAAAATAATAATTACCTATATTTCTGCAGTTCTATTTTGTGCGTACAAGACATCAACTTCTGGCAGTTCTATCATTTGTGTTGAACACATCCAAACCTTCCTATTAAATCGTGTGAATATGGTCTATGATGTGTGGATCTGGATCTTTGATCATGTGTTAATGAGACATCGTCGACAGGTGTTTTATCACGTTTGCGAGTCAGATATGATTCTGGATGTTCTATCATATATTCATTATACACTGACATCGTCGTCAGGTTATTCTATCACATGCATGTGAGATTTGATTTCTGGGTATTCGATCATATGTAAATGAAACATCGTCAGTCTGTTCTTGTGTGAGGTATATGATTTCTGGCTGTGCTATCGCATTTTTATGATGTATGGTTTCTGGCTGTTCCATCATGTGTAAATGAAACATCGTCGTCAAGCTGATCTATCACATATCTGTGATAAACGATTTCTGGCTTTGTTATCGCGTGTGTGGGATACATGTTTTCTTGTTCTATCGCGTGTGTGGGAGACATGCTTTCTGGCTGTTCATTCATGTTTAAACAGTCATCGTAGTCAGACTGTACTATCGCATGTGTGTGATATATGATTTCTGGGTGTTCTTGCCTGCGTATGGAAATGCATTCTTGCTGTTCCTTCATGTTTAAATGAAACATCGTCGTCAGGCTGTACTATCACATAATGTGTGTGATATATAATTTCTTGCTGTTCTGTCGTTTGGGTGCGAGTTAGAATTTCTGGCTGTTCTGCCGTGAGTGTGTGTGTGTAATATTTTTTCTGGTTGTTCCATCATATATATGATCTGAAATATAATATATATAAAAAATCGATCGTTGTCAAGACAGGTTAATCGTGTATTGAAAAACATGACGTCTGGTTGTTTTATCATGTGTTTGGAGACAATGTCGTCTGGTTGATGTATGAAACGCTCAACTCATAAAGATATTTCATGTTTAATTTCTGATTGATAAAGATAAAACGGATTTACAATGTAATGCCGACTCTTGATTCTTGCATTATGGCGCATTTGAAAATGTTCTGTCCCACGTAAGGGGCGATTATATGTGCTTGGCGTCAGTAAATGTACAGGTGTGTGTATTCTATGATGTTCATGCTTTACCTACGATGCTAGTTCAGAAAATAAAATGTTTTTCCAAACAAATGCTATCCATTCCAAGCATGTCTTTTTCAGTAACTTTAACGTAAGCGTTAACACGTCAATTTTCTTTTGTCACCTTTGACCGTGGCGTGAGCCAAAGAAAGAGCAGCTTAACGTATTTCAAGTCATAAGACTTAACTCGGGTGGCCAAGATGAACATATGGTAATAATATTTTATGTACGAGTAAAATCCGTAACAGCAATTTTCTTCCTTGAAACTTGTTTTATACTCATTTTGTAAAAACATTGTGCAAGACACAAGTATAATGTATGAAGAAACAATAACAGCCACGAGTAAGTCGTCTCCATATATATTGGGTAGCGAGACAGCTATATCAAAAACTGTATATGTTGGGTCACCCCTGCTTATATATATAACATAGGAAGTTATGGAAATCAGAAATAATAAGTGTGAAAATTAAGTGTGATGGCAAACGGAACCTCATTAAAAAACACTTATATATGTAGTAGAGTTCCCACAATGGGGTCCCGTGACAACTTTTCCCGGACCAAGTTTTGATAGTTGATTTTAGTCCTTTTGAGGGTGCTGAATTAAATGAGCTGGGGTGAACCTCGTGAAAATGTGGGCTAACTCAGCCAGACGCGAAAATTAAAAATGGCCGCCACTCGTCGTCTGGTATATCAAATACATATCTTTGCTTCAAGATGTCCGTTTTATATGATTTTTGGGTCTATATATATATTTGAAGGGTCAGGAATTTTATTTGTTACTGTAGTATAATAACTTTATTAAAGTAAGCGTAAGATCAAAAAATGGTCTGTTATTTTTTTGCTGCCCAAAACCAGGATAACCGCAAGATGACTGCAAAGGAAAAGACCAGGAGCCGGTTGCTCGAACGTTCATTAAAGTTAACCCTAATTAAAGCATCAATAAGTCTTAATGAGTCATTAAATCGCTAATGATTGATTAGTTAATCTATCGTTAAAAAAGAGTTGTTGGAAACGTCATTTAAGGGATCATTAACTTTTAAGGTTTTAGGTTTAATGATTGATTAACAATTAAAGTCTCCAAATCCTTTGAAATCTGGGAAGGTAAATGGCAAATGAATTTTAACGCCAAAAAATGTTCTATCATCAACATATCTAGAAAGAAAAATCAAATTAAATTTAGCTACTCCCTGCACAATCAAATTTTGGAAAATTTAGACTCTAGCAAATACCTAGGGTTCACTTTCACCTCAGACCTAAATTGGGATAAACACATACAATCAATGCCAACAAGGCAAATAGGACACTGGGATTTCTGCGTCGCAACATGTCATCATGCACCAGAAAAGTCAAAACCCAGACATTCATCACACTAGTAAGACCATCACTAGAATATGCAGCCACTTGCTGGGACCCTTTTATTTCAGACCAGGCCATAGTAATTGAAAATGTACAGCGTAGGGCTGCCAGATACATATTTAATGATCATAGATCTAGAGAGCCTGGATGTGTCACCAGCATGATAAATATACTTAACTGGGAGCCCCTAGCCCAGCGAAGAGCAAAAGCCAGGCTCATGATGTTATATAAAAAAAAACCCGGACATGTAGCTATTGAACCATCCCAATTCATAACATCAGGCGACAGGAGAACCATAGGGGGCCCACATAATTAATCAAATATCAATTCACACAAATTTGTATAAATATTCATTCTTCCCTAGAACTATTGTAAACTGGAATTCGCTACCATCATCCCTAGCACAGGGGCCAAACCTGAACTCTTTCAGGTCTGCCCTTGCTAGTTTCAACCTTCCATAAAGTGTTTTCTGTTTTTATCTTATAGTACAAATTAACAAAAATAGTTGTTTTTAACATTTTTAATGCCACCTCCCAGGATCAAGTGCACTCAAACATTTGAGTCTGATCCTTGTAAAGGAAGATGAAGAAGAAAGCTTCATTAGTGTGGGGATTCCCTCTTCCCATAATGCATGTGCAGTATCCCATGTCAACATTCAAGATGGCAAATTCCAAGCGACCAAGGGGGGAAAACTTTGACGGGGAGGAAATAATGCTATTGACAGAGTTGGTTGAAACGAGCATAGGTATTTTGAACTCTAAATTGACCAACACAGTGAAAACATGCCATTTGGGTCGATATCGCAGAAAAAATAAGTTCCCTCGGGAAATGTTTACGTAGTGATAAGGATGTTAAGACCAAGTGATCAAGTATTACAACGTTTGCAAAGAAGGAGTTTTCCGCCCACCAAACATACAGAAAGGGAACCGGAGGTGTACCATTCCCTAAACCGATGGATTCAACAATAGAGCGGATCGTCGAGATTTTCAAAGACTCTCCAAACTTCATTGGTTTAGATGGCGTTGAATCCCCGGCACCGACAGAAGAAGGTACACATGAATTTTAAAAATAGAATTGACCGAGTAAATATCGTTTATTTATGGTTTTCACGGACGTTAAAAAAAAAATTGGTAAATGCCTACACGGGGAGTGATGGAAGAATACAACAATCAAAAATGTTTTCTACCGTTCTTAAGTTTCATGTATCATAACTGTGACGTCACTTAAAAATTGAACGGTTCGGAAAGGAGCACCTGTCTTCTTCAGTTATTTCATAATCATTCATAGGCGGATCCATGGAGTGTGTGTGTGTGTGAGTGTGTGTAAAATGTCAAAATGTCGCAGAAAAGACAGTGACTTTTTAGAGTGGAAAAGGGGCTGTTAAACACGCAGCAAATGCATCAATGAAACGAAGTTGTGGGTAATATACATAAAAATTATATACTTACGATGACGAAGAATGCAAAATATATACACACACTGTAATACACCTTTCCTTTGAGTCGTCTATCTTCCTTCAACCGCCGCCTGATCTTCTTCCATGCACGAATGCACTGCCATTGGTGCGGGGGGTGGGGGGGTGGGGGGGGGTCGGGCCCCCCC